GTTTATTATTAGCAATATTCTTCCGACGTCTGATTTCTCTTTAAAAATGTGTTTCTAAAGTGCATAAACCTTTGGGATTGACTGTATAGCCAATACATCCTTAAATTCACTGGCTTAAAATTTCCGCTGTTTGGTCACGTGTGAGTCCCGCGTGGATACCCCTTGGCAAAATTTTGGATACATGCAAATTCTAAATCACTATAATTTTTCAAAAAACCCATGAATTAATTTAAAATTTTGCAGGTAGCTTTTTTATAATAACAGGAATCTATAATAACAAATTCAACGTGCTAGCATCGTTCAAGTATATAGCCTATGCAACTAGGCGTCCGTGTGTATGTCAAAGATTAAGACGCTCTCCGATGGTTACCGATTCTCATCGAATTCGACTGGCAAGGAATACTCGGTAGTGTCCTTAGACTCGCGACTATGTATACTCGGCGCACATTTCTCATCCCCAGTGCCAAGGCCTCCGTAGAAACGAAGGCAGAGTCGAGGCGACGGGTTTCGATCGAATTCGATCGATCCCAACGCGGCACGCTCGATCGTACGACTTCCTACCAGCGGCTAGCAGAACTGAAACTCACGGCGTTTCTTCGAACAGGGAAACTGGTCGTCCGGCCTGATGTCGATCGACCGTTAATCCGTACGATGTAACGACGCGCTATAAATAGAAAGGTTCGCCACGGTATTTGATAACGATCCGCCGCCGTGTTCCTCTCCACGAATCGGTCGAATCAATCTTTGGCCAACGCGATTCAACCCGACGACGACGACGCCGCGACGATACCACCGAGAATAATGGGTTGGCGCGGTGACGGATCGATATGCAGCTACCTATTATTAGATCGGCTCGGTGGACACTACGATTATCATCCGCGGACGTTATCGCGACTGGCTTCGCCTTGGCGCCGCGTCCTCCAGGCGTTATCCCCGACTGGCGAACGTTCGTCACCCGCGCTTCCTACCAGACGGCAACGATGAAAGTCACCCTCTACGATTATTTTTATTAAGGGTCAGAGAGCACTTAAAATAAAATATCTCGCGTCCGACTGGCAGCATATTTTTATATGTTTATTTATAAATCAAATGGTGCGAGAGCGTCTCGAGGATCCTTCGAGCTAAACGGGGCTCTCCATTCAGGCATCGAAATCGCGCACCTTCTGCTCGACAAGGCGTGCGGTCGGATTCGATGTGATTCTCGGCGATACGTACGCGCGCGTGCATAATACCAAGCATAACCGAGTAGTTTATTTATAACGTTGCGGAAATACACTCGGCGCGTTTATTGTAAAAAGGTTGTGTAACGCGCGCGGTTCTCGTACGTTACGTAACCGCGTACAAGCGAATGGGCGAGTTTCATCGTTACGCGTTTAATGCGACGCGAGTCCGGCCGATTCCTGGCATTGCGACTGTGCGACTGCACGCTTGCGACCAGCCAGGAGAACGCGCCGGCTGGAGGTCGGTATTTCAAGGAACGAACTTCTGCGATCCGTGAGAACCGTAAAGAACCAGCAAATACGATTCGAACAGGTGCGAAGCGAACAAGAAACGAGCTGTTTATCGATCGTCGACTAGTTTCGAATGAAAAAATGATGGCGATGATCGGTAAAGTGAATCGACTCTTGTCGCGTAAACGATTCGACGACAAGACCGGGTCGTGGGTAAAATGGAAGCAACTGCGGAAGAGACCCTGGCTGGGGATCGTCGCCGGGCTGTTCGGCAGTTGTGGGACGATTGTTTACTTCTTGAACGATTCGTCGGTGAAAGCGTCGGAGGGGTTGGAACCGATCCTGCCGAGTTACCCGTGGGCATTTAAGGGGCCGTTCACCGCGTTCGACCACGCGGCTCTGCGGAGAGGCTGGATCGTCTATCGGAACGTCTGCAGCACCTGCCACAGCCTCCAATACGTTCGTTTCCTCGACCTGGTCAACGTGACACACACCCTGGACGAGGTTAAAGATATCGCCAGCGAATACGAGGTCCCTAGAATTAACGAATGCAAAGATGTACGTGAAACGGTAAGACGAGTATCTAAAGAGTTTTAATGATCGAGTAGGTAGAAGACGGCCCCGACGACCAAGGAGAATACTACATGAGGCCGGCGAAACTCACAGATCCGATCCCGCCGCCGTATCCGAACGAACAGGCAGCAAGAGCCGCGAACTTCGGATCTTATCCAGCGGATTTGTCGTACATCATTTACACCAGGCACAACGGCTTCAACTTCATGTTCTCCCTACTGACGGGATGGATGGACCCACCGGCAGGAGTGGAAGTAGGAGAAGCGCAGTATTTCAACATCTACTTTCCCGGTGGACTGACGGGGATGGCACAAGTACGCGACGACTCGTCACGATACGGAACGGATTCGTGACGAAATGATTGGGTTCCTAGATGCTCTTCGACGGAATGGTCGAGTACGACGACGGGACGGTGGCGAGCCAGTCGCAGATGGCCAAGGACGTGGTGGAGTTCCTGTCGTGGACGGCGGCCCCGGAGCACGACACGCGGAAGATCATGACGGTCAAGGGTGTGGGCATCTGTCTGATAATGACGGTAGCACTGGCCTTCATGTACAGGCGATACTGGTCGCACGTAAGGAGTCGTCGACTGGCTTTCGTGCCGAATTGTATTACTCGGGAGCCGCGGCTACCGGCGCCGGTGCTCGGGTCGAGATCGGGTAAAAGAAGCTGAGACTCCAGCCGGTTTGCATGCTCGCACGCGGAACGCAGTAGCCGCGAAACGGGAATCGTACATGATCGTGGAAAACCGAGAAAGAAAACGGAGATTCGAATCGGGTCGGGTCGGGTCGGGTCGATTCGGTTCGGTTGGTAGCGCGGATGCAACATGTGCCACCGATAATCGTTTCGCAACGCGCGGCCTTGACGATGCCCGTATACTCGATCGGTCCGTCTAAAAATAGAAACCGTGCAACAAACGCTCCGTCCTACCTATCTCTCTCTCTCTGTCTCTCATTACCCTTCCTTCTCTCCCTCTTTACCCCGTGGTCGATGTTCATGAGACGAGCGACGGATCATGGTCGCGAGCGACGAGTAACGACGGTCGGTGATCTACGATCTATTTCAGATCGAAAGGACTCGGTTGCATGAGTCGTGATTTATTTTTACACCCGTACCCACCCTTCCACCTTCCAATGTACGCGTCGCCTCTTCCCTCTTTCCCGGAACCACGCGAATCGCTTCATCTCCGAATCAGCAGCGACGATCGCGTTAACAGTTTTCCTCCGAGCCGCGTCGATGATCTATGCGAGAACGTACGCGACTCATCTCGGCGGCTCAATGGCAACGAGCACGATACGGGGACAAGAGGGGAGAGGAGAGACGGCACGGATCGAAAATATATACCAAACGATGAATGAACCTCCGCGTTGACGTTGAGAGCGCGCCAGCGATTTCGCGATCAACCGTAAGAACAAACTTGGACCGTCGAAGGGTCCGGCGCGCCGCGGCGATCCTTTAACTCCCACGTTCAAGGCCGTTTTTAGCAACGAGATCGTCTCCGCTTCGTCGAGTCCCTTTGCGTCAAACCTGGGATGGCGAAAATTCTCGAGTCCTCTCGTAGTTATTTATTTTTAATAACCGTAGCTCGCATCGTATCGAGTCCGTTATCGTTGCCGTCACCATCATCGTTCTCCGATACACATCACGGTGTGACTCTGTGAACCTTCATTCCCACGCTGCTAGAGTAGCATTCAACCGCGATCACGGATCGCGCTCCCTTTCATTTCGTTTCGCCCCTGTCTAAGAATCTTCCCTCGCCAGCGCGCGAGACCGTCTCTCTCTCTCTCTCTCTCTCTCTCCCTGTTCGTGGTTCGCGATCGGAACGGTTTAATTATCGTGCGACTAACGAGAAACCGCGGATGCTGTCTCATCGTCGACTTACCTTTGGTTGCGACGGCGCTGGCACGCGCTTGCTCGCTGGACATTCTGTTCCCTCCAACATTCACCGAACCCTGCATTTACCGTCAACGCTGCAACGTCGCCACGCTCCCCTTTCCTGATCGCATGCGTCCCCTGCAACGCGAACAAGCAATGGTTTTGTACAGTTGTCGGGCGACGCGCGACGGTGGCCACGCGATCGCGAAATTAGGTTCTCCGCAAATACCGGAAGTAGAACCGTCGTCCACGTGAACCAGGCCGCGCGCCTTTTCACGCCCACTCTCGCCTCGTCTCGCCGCGTCTTCCCATCCCGAATCGTCTGTCTACATACGTGTGTATATACATATATATATATATATATATATATATACATCTATTCCCATTTACCCGGACTTATTCCTGTACCGCGCGTCGCGTGGCCCGCGTTCTCAACATAATTTCAACCTCCTTCGCTCGCAAACTCCAAGACCATTACTACCAACACGCTATGGGTGTGCACGCGCATTGTTTCTGCGTGCACGCTAAACAGTCGTCGGCCGTGAAATACCGCGTGTCGTTTACACCTAATTCTACGTAGAACTCTGCGACCTGTACAATTAATAGATAGATAATAACGAACGCTCGATACACGGTGTGCATCGATCGGCCGTGATACACCTGTGAGAAAATGGGACGAATAAAAATTCAGAGGCTGAAACAAATTTCAGTAGACAGTCGCCAGTAGAGAGAGTTGATCGAGGGGCTGAGTCGTCGGAATTCGAAACGGCTTGCGACATATTGTACATATTCATTCAGGCTTGTTCAATAATTATACCTAAACGGGTAGCAGACGATTTCTCTTATGAATCAAATCGTCTCGATTGTCGTTCTCCACGTTCAGTCGGTGCGCGGTTTCAGGTCCTGGAAAGGAATTAGGAAGAGCAGGTGAAAACAAGGAGGACAATGCTGGTGCTACTTGCCCGAAATTCGTTTGTTCGCGATTGAAACGCGAGCCGCATCGGTATATTTGTGGCTGGTCAGGTGCCGATCCTGTGTCAGCGTTCATGGTAATGACGACGGCGATGACGACGACGGTGACGATGACAATGAATGACGGCGGTGAACGATGACGATGGTGGTGGAGCTTGGATGCAGTAATGGTGGTCGCGGTGGTAGCGGTAACAGGTCAAAAGTCGCGAAAGCGGTGGTTGGAATCGGTTCGATCTCTTCGGGCGAGAGATCCGACTTCGGATCGCACGTTCGATTGTGTCCAAATAAGAAACATGGCAAGCTTCGAGCCAAGGAATTCGCGAGCGTTCGATCGATTCGCTGAAACTTTCGTGTGATCGTTCGACACGTGGCAAAAATGCGACGCGTAGATTCATGGAGAATCGGTTATGTATGTCGCGTTTGTGTACGTGTGCACGATCGCGTGTATATATATATATATATATAAGCGTGCATATATATGTCACTGCGCGCGCGTGAGGGAGAGAGAGATAAAGACAGAGATAGAGTAACGCGACGAGAAGGGGAGTGGGAGGTTTTGAACGATGTTGCGAGGGGTGTTGGGAGAGAGAGACACGGGTAGAGAAGTGAAAAAAAAAACAAAAGCGGAAGGGAAGATCGAGGATGAAAGCGCGACGGGGAAACTAGGAATAGAGAATAGAAGAAGAGCGCATAGAAGAGCTACCGAGGCGAGGAGGAACAGCAATGGTCGGTACCGCGCAAATTCACCAATACGAAGACTTACTGGTAACGCTGCCACACCTTCGGGGAGCACCTCGATGTCGTGTCTTGGACGATGCCGTGCACTGGGTAATCTCTGTTTCAGCACAGACACTCGTGAAACGGCGAACGGTTTTTCAAAAAGACACGGTGGTCACTCGCGAGGCACTCACGATACGCCTTACACGAAGCGTATATGCATGGCATGTACACACACGAGAACATAAAAACAATGCGATCGCGCTGCTACCTCGTCGTCGTTTGTTCAACTATAACAGCTCCTCGTCCGATTATTGCCAGATGCACTTGGTTTCCTTGGTAGCACGCATGCGTTCCGAGACACGAGGAACGTGTAAATTCGATTCTGCTGGTCGACGTTACGTCTCTTCTATACGGATAAACGCGAGCAGCCGCGATCGACAACGTCCTCACGCGTACGAACTACCTGTAAACGAAGACTGTCCGTCAACGCTTCATCACTCTCTGCGATCCCGCGATCCTATACCTACGCAACTACGCGAGCAACTACCGCTACCTCTAACCTACAACTTGGCGGATCGTCCACTCCAGGCTTGCCAACTACTCGTTGCTATATCTTCGACGATCTCGGACTCGAAAAGGATCGCCGCTGTACGCGATGACGTTGCAAGTGCTCTTGCTTTCTTTCTGACTTGCTCGCTTCCTTCCCTGCTTCCTTCCTTCCTTTCTTTCCTTTCTTCCTTCCTCCTCGACTGTCTCACCCTCCGGTTCATCTGGAGCGCTTGCGCCTCGCACTGTACAAGATTGCTTAACTCTGTGCTACATCTAACGGATGACGTTGTAAACTTCCTATCTTTTGTTCAACATTCAATCAGACAGTCAGCAAGCTCGCGATTGTTCGCGATGTGTCATCCGATAATTAACAAGATTCATTCTTAAATGGTGAAACAACTCCACTATTTGGATGTCACGAGTGACTACCAGTTTTACCTCCCTAGCCGGTCCGGTTTCTTTCAATACTCATGTGAGTAAAATCGCCTGGAACGATATCCTGCAAATCGCTTAGCATCGCATCATCGAGTACTAACCTCTTCGTCCATTCGTCTACTCCAGGTTTATGGTCTACTCGAGGAGTTCTTTCATACTTCTATTCTTAATACTACGTCTTCTAGACCGTCGAGATAGATCGTTACTATTCTGCATCGCACAGAAGATCGTGCGGTATTCCTTCGTTACAATGTCGTGGTGGTTCGGAAAAAAGAAACAGCAGAAGGACTCGACGGAAGAAGAACAACCGTCCGAACCAAACAATGGATTCGTGCACGTCTATCATCCAGGACCAGTGCCACCGAACGTCTCCCAAACACCTACTGGTTATCCTACCGGCAATTTGTACCCGCACGTTCCTCCAGTGGACGAATTCGGTCAACCTGTGTTCCCCGATTCGTCGAAAAACTTTAACCAAGGAGACAATGTCCATTATTTGCACGGTGTTCCCTTCAAGTTATGCAAACAATTAGAGAACAGTCTGAACGACGATTTCGAGATCGAGAAACTTAAAATTAGCGAAATTGTATCTCTTCTACAGAGAATAGAAGATGAGAATTATGATTACACTTTCTCATTGGAGGACAGTGTTGTTGCAGAAATGAACTGCACGAACGACTAATCGTTTATCGAAACTTGTGCACGACGTGCTACTCAAGTCTGCCTAATTTCTGTTGACCGCTGTATTTACCAGCAAGCTCAAGCTGGTACTTACCTCTTTGATGGCTTAAGAGTAACGCCTCGCGAAGATCACAGCTGTTGCACCTAACGCCTGTTCGCGATAGTTGTACATATCACGTATCTACAATGATTTTTATAGGTTGAACAAGAAAACAGAATCCTGTATGTAAATGCCAGCTGAACAATATGCGAGCACAAATTTATTTTCTGTTAAAACACGTTGTGTAATGCGTTTGCCATACGGCGTACCACTTGTTCGTCGATAGTTTTAAGTGTGCTTTATAATATATGTCACGACGTTGTACATCTGTAACATACATGTAATTTCAAAGCATCGACCGAGCAAATTCTTAATAAATGTTAAACATAACTGAACGATGTATTATTTCCATCGAAATGCAGCGTTCGTTGTTCATTCAAGGATCGACGTTTCATCGAACGTGCACTTTGATCGTTTATCGGCAAAACAAGCAGATGATGGTCACCATTGCGACAAGAAAAAGAAACGGTGTCCACGTTTTAAGGAAACCTAGAAAACTACAAAACGAGTGCATTCATTCAGGCCTGTTGAAATTCGAACAGCTCGGAGCTCTCTTACCTTACATACTTCCCATGTATAAGCATTAGGAATGCTAGTTTTACCATGTTCCAATTGGTTGAATTTTCATACGACATTAAGTTCAGAGCTGTGGCTACGTGAGAATGACAGTTGTCCCAGCACAAAATATGCTGCGGAGAAGACGCACCGGGTTATGAAAGAAGACGGGAACGGGACATGTTCGATCGTTCGAACAGGCCTAAATAGACACTGACCACTCTAGCCTTATAAATTTCACTGGCTTCTGCGACTGCAGAATCCCATCCCTGAACGCCTCCTTTGGCTTTCGTGAAATCTAACTGCCAATACTTCGTTGGTTTGCCAAACGTCATATCGTCTTCGGCTACGTGATACGGACCAGCGAAGTCACGTATCACGCCAGTGGACGTAGCAATGCCCATATGGCCGATGAACGGTAAAAAATACCTTGACAACGAAACGGAGGAAGCTAATTCGGAGAATAATATTCGGAGGGATACGGCAGTAACGATTTCGTGGAGAAGTGAAGATGCTAACCGGCGTGTACACATTTGTTAACATGAGCGCTAAAGCGATGCAGGTTACATTCCAATCTGTACTCACGTTAGGATCGGTAAAGGTGTCCAGACTATGCAAAACGGAAACCTTTGCCTGTCCGCGTTGATTGTAAGATCCATATTCGTACTATCTGAAAAATCGCGTTCTTCTGTCATCAATTCGTTCTTCTTCATGTTTTGTTATGACAGTGTATACATACGACATACAACAATGAAACCTATCCCTACTCCTGCTGTCACTATACTCCTCCATTATGCGTTATACATATACATACACACACGACATCACACTGATTGTTGCACAGTTTGCACATGGTCTGACATGATTAACCTGGCAATTCCAGCGTATTTCAAAACAAAATAAGAATTCGTCCGTAAATGTAAAAAATAAAGAAGAACATGAATAATATCAGAGTGATAACTTTCAAACTATTAAGAACTTATGCTACGAAACCTGATCGTGCTGGTATACGGAAGAAAGCGTATTTACTGAAGAATAGTGGGACTGATTTTGAGGATATCGATCATGAAGACGGGGGAATGTACGAAACAGATTTCAGAGACATTACTAAAAGCTACGCAGAACGCAAAAGGTTTGTACAAATATGTTGAATTACATTGCTCGTGTCTGGTGAATTCTTTAACATGAAAACTTGATGTGTATTTTTAGAGAAGAGCTAATAGCAAAGGAACGTCTGCGACAACGTATTGTAAAATCTAAAGTTTTTAAAGACAGCCAGCCTAGATTTCTTACATACGTTGAAAAAGAGCATATAAAAAAGCTGCATCAAAGTAATCCAGATGAGTGGACACCTGAAAGACTTAGTGAAAGTTTTCCAGCTTTACCAGAAACCATAAGGAAAATCTTGAAGGTGAACTGGGTACCAAAAACGGTGGAAGCTATTGTTAAGTATGATGAGAAAGCCATTGAGAATTGGAAGAATTTTAAAACTGGACGGTTAGCATTGAATCCTGCTTTAAAAGAACATTTAATGAAGTTTAAAGATAGAAAAATCAGTTTAATTGACAGAGAAACGTTACTAGAAAAGTTTGTACCACCAAAGATGGAGTTACCAGAACCTAAGAGTTCATTTTTTAGAAGTATCGTTAAGGACCCCACCGATCTAAAGAAAATTACAAGAGCTAGATTGATCTCTTCCGAGAATACGAACACGGATGACAAAAACAGGGTTAAAAGAATTGAAGAAAAATCTGTCGATGTGCTAGACAAAAAGATATGCGATAAACATTTAGATAGAGAAACAAACAACGCAAAGAAGTATAACAGCCAAGGGAAGACACTGAGTTTCGATGAATTTCTGAAACAAAAGATAAACAATCTAAATAAAACGACACCTGAGGAAAGGGAAACGTTGATAGCAACTTATAAGAAGCAGATAGAATCCACGAGTTTAAGTCCAAGTATGTTAAACGATAGTGCGAGGAATGTTACTGTTGAAAAGAAAGACAATGACGTTGCAAAGAAGAATTCATCCGATACAAGTGAACTGGCTGTCAAGAAAACTAATACGGAATCGAAAATATTAGCAAAAGCAAATGAAACGTGTTCCAGTTTAGATACCCATGTCAAAGAGCACATTTCATACATGGAGACAGATTATAATTACGTAAATAGGATAAGGATTCCCAGAAATGTATATAAGGCAGGCATGACGTACAGGATAAAGGACTGCTATTACGATGATGACGGAGAATTTTTGTACAGAGTACCAGGACTGAGAAGTTAACGGGACGTTTTTGATACCTGAAGATGCACATATGTGTATACATGTTTAGAACCTATGTACAGTAGTTATAGTCAAGAATAAAAATATACTCGAGACAATGTTTGTAATAATTAATTGCGTTTTATGGCATGCGTTACGAAACTTTGATTAAAAACAAAATGATATAATTGCATATGGTATCGAATTCGTATAGTTTATTATGAATCGACCCAATTTTTGTCGACAGATGTCCTCCCAATCCCCATCAGCCGCGCATATACTCGATGAAGATTTTCGATGTTGCAGATAAATCATTTGTAAAATGGTAAATAGTTTTAATTGATAAATGAACCTCCGTTCTTAATTCAGACGAAAACATGAACTAACCATAGTCGTTTCCGTTTCTCCACGTTAACACGGCTTTGTAAATCTTTTACTGATGAACCGGTCGCATTTTTCCGTTTCGTTCAGGTTACGTATAATCGGATGGCTTTCACGCTTTCCGTCTAGATAGTTGCATCATTAAAATTCTCAATTTACCGGGATTGACATCTTGCGCTTGTTATTTATCGAGTTTCGCAAGGGAGTAATCGATGAATTGAGTAGTACGAAAACGAAGGAACGTATTATTATAACATGGTAATAATTATGCACTGTATGCAAGGAATGACTATTCTTTCTTTTATGAGCATACCACTCGAAAAAAAGTTGTAATAAAACGATGACTAATGACATAATAACATTCTCGCATGGAAAGATTAAAAAATGTTGACACATAAAAGATTTCCAAGCCGTCAGACTCGAAGCGTGTGAATAATGTTACATTTCTAGTTTCAGAATTTTGCTGTATGTAGGGCTAGCCTTATTGGCATCACACGATCTGCGAGATCTAAAAGAAAACTTTACCGGGAGTGTCCAGTGATATACACTTGCAATGTTTTACTACGGTCACAGTTATCTCCCTCGCCAAATGTACACGGTCTGTCAGTGAGTATCAGCTTGAAACATGTTTGGATAAATGTACATTCGTTAAAGTTACATGCATTTCTTTAGATCAGATTCTATTCGAACCCAGCGAGAAGACCGAGCTTCTTCTCTCAGTTCCTTGAGAATATCAAGCAGGAAATGCAAAAGAATAAAGAGATGAAAGAGTCTTTAAAGAAGTTCAGAGAAGAAGCAGAGAAACTAGAGCAATCCGAAGCGTTACGTTCAGCTAGACAAAAGTTTCAAGCAGTTGAATCTGAGGCTAGTAAGGGATCCGAAGCTCTAAAGGAGAAATTAGGATCTCTGAAGGGCAAGGTAAAGGAGTTCGTTTCATAACGCTACGAAGTTCACGAGCATCACGATTATTAAATCAGTGGTGTTATTTAGGTGCAAGAAGTTTTGGAGGAAGCAAGTAAAACAGAATTAGGTAAGAAGGCCGGTCAACTGGGCGAGGGAATAACGAAGTCTGCGAAAGAGGCAGCGGAGACGATAACCGAAAAGAGTCAAGCTTTGGGTAAAACAAGCGCGTTTCAAACGATATCGCAAACCGCTGAGGTTGTGCGCGAGGAATTAGATCATCAAGGAATGCGTGGTAAACTGGATACGATCATAACCAGATTGAAAGATGTTGCTTGTATGTTGTAAGGATTTTCATCTTGAATCGGTAGGAAAGGTCTATGTTCCTCCAAAGAAATTGAGAAAGAGGAAAGACGTGGTGGAAACCGTAGACGACAAGATTGTTCAACCAAATACGGATGCTATGGGAGTCGAGTTACATAAAGACTCGAAGTTTTACCAATCGTGGCAAAATTTCAAGGTATCTTATCCAGACTAACGGCATACTGTAAGAGTCCATCGTCACTGTAATTCCCATTGAGTAATCGCGTTTTTTAAAGGATAAAAATCCGTATGTGAACAAAGTGTTGGATTGGAAGATCAAGTACGAAGAGTCGGATAACCCGGTGATTCGAGCTTCCAGATTACTTACAGATAAAGTCACAGACATCGTCGGGGGGTTGTTCCAAAAAACGGATTTATCGGAAACGCTGACAGAGATCTGTAAGCTGGATCCGAACTTTGAAAGAGTGCAGTTTATAAAATATTGCGAGACGGATATAATTCCAAACATTCTCGAAGCTATGGTCAGAGGAGATCTCGAAATTTTAAAAGATTGGTGTCACGAAGCTCCGTACAAATTAATAGCGCATCCGCTGATACAGGCGCAGAAATTGGGATACGTATTAGACAATAAGATCTTAGGTATTTCTTACGAGTATCTGCTATGATTCGCACGAGCAATTGTCGTGTAAATAAAAAGTAAAATGATTGTCTTTCAGATATCAATAACGTAGATTTAATAATGGGGAAAGTAATGGAGCAGGGACCAGTTTTAATGATCAGCTTTCAATGCCAGCAGATCATGTGCGTGAGGGATACCAAAAAGAAAGTAATCGAAGGAGATCCGGACAAAGTAATGCGAGTTAATTACATTTGGGTACTGTGCCGCGATCCTACGGAACTTAATCCGAAAGCTGCATGGCGTTTGCTGGACCTTAGTGCCACCAGTACTGAACAGTTTGTATAGTGTATAGCTTAGGTATGAATTTAATTACGAGTAAACAAAGGAAATTAATGTGAATACGTGGCTTGAGAGTGAGAGCGCGTTTTCCGATACCTATACGATCGACACTGAGAGAGAGGGAGAGAAGTAGAGAACCGCGACGTGTACATTAATTCATCGAGAAGTGGATTTTCACTCGTGTGACTTAAATTAGACATTATCTTTCAATTAAAATCCGTAGCTGAAAGCTACAGACATTTTATAATGTCTACAGAACCATTTGATCTATAGGTAATGAAAAATAAAACTAAGTTACGTTATGAACGCGCGTATTAACAGATGAAATATTAACGTTGCTGTACTCTCGTAACATGCTCGAACAATATCGCCGCGAGTCGTATTATTGAGAATATGTATGGAAAGTGAACAGTTGCTTACTTTTTAGTTACTATTATTTTTATAACGTCGAAACAACTAATAGTTCGTTATCGTAAATCGTTCGATTACGTTTTATAATCTTATTCGCGCGGGAGAACATACGCAAAATTTGAACGAACCATCTCTGTACATATTTAAATATTGACATTAAAATATAAAACGATAGAGCCTAGAAGATATTTACGTATGTCGAATGCCGAATATTTTAAATGCCGAGTCATACGGGGTGGGGATGTAAACATTTTGTGGTTTAACATAGAGCTGTACATAGTTGCATGTTCATGATATCACGATGCGATCAATTGTGTTTAATTGTTAATACGGTTACGTATTAATTGTTTTTTAAAGGCTAATATATCTGTAATATATACGATACGAAAATCGAAGTCATTTGTTGTCAAATTACTCCAACTTTCTGATCACAAGTGACAATGTAAAAAAACTAATTGTGTAAAAATAGAAACTATTTCGAAACAAATTGTTGCCAACTGTTTTTATTCATTGCCTCTTCCTGCCTCCTCCTCCTATTGTAGCAGATGTAGTATCGTAGGAACATGAAATCAGCATTCGTAAAATTCCGGGGAATCGCGGCTTCCTGCAAACTCGATTCACAGCTTAATCGTGTATGAAACATGGTATGAAACAATTAATGTTTACGCTATTTTTAAAAGTACGTCGCCATTTTCTCTCAATAATATATATGTATATATATACAACAAAAGTTAATTCCTTCCGGAAGCGAACGAACTCTTTTCTGATTGGCCCACACTCAGGAAGTTAGAATTTGATTATATACATACCTTTGTAAAAGTGTAAAATATCAAACGTTCACGCACAATTTCAACAGATCATAAAGAATATTTCACGATATACATTTTCATTCTATGTATTCATTAAACCATGCACTACACGTACATGCAGATATATGCATGTATTAAAAAAATGTAATAGGCGGACATACATGTATGCACATTATATGCGCACAATGCAATCATTGCATACGAACATGAATTTGAGAAATAATGACAGAAATTAAAAAAACCTGATACCCGAGTATGAAAATAAATTTTCCCTTCATTCGTGACATAATAGATAATAGATATTTGATATACTTAAAAATTTGAAGTAACGATCGCCATGGGCGGCACAGGGAAAAGTCGCCATGATGAATATTTGCCCTTCGCAACATCAGCGAATGTTCAGTGAACCGTTGGATCGTTACTAGAAACATCTAGACGATCGGTTGCTTTAAACGACGTTAGACTGGCACATGTTCGACAAATATTTCTATTGATACGAGAATTTGTCGCTAACTAAATAAATACAGGCCCCGTTGGTGTTTATGCATGTGTGCGAGAATTTTTAATGTATTTACGACGACGTGTGCGCAGAGCAGAGCTCAGTTCGCTCGCCTTCGGGAACACGTAACTCGTTGTTGCCTCAGAAACATGGCTGAACATCGTTTCGATGGTGTGGTGAAATTGTGTGTACAGAATTGTTAAAACGACAATCCAGAACTCTTAAACACGTTCATGCTATAGTAGAAAATGACGTCGATACACTTTGTCGTGCATCCGTTACCGGGTACAGACGATCAGCTAAACGATAGGTAAGCGAGAGAGCTGCTTCGTTATCGTCGATCCGTTTCCCCATTTGCCGAGTACGTATCCTTTTAGCATGTCCGTCTCCTCGTTGTATCGATACGATCCGTTCATTACTCATTTCTAAATATGCTTGCTCATACCGATTAGCATAGACGCGCTATGCCCTTTTTCGCCCGTCCCGAAAACGAATGTTCTCGTTGGTCTCCGAATAATATAACGTATGCTCCGTATCGTTCGAGTTTGTTGTCAGATCGTAATACGTTTCTATTAAATCGGGCTTGCGTACGGTACGTGATACACAACGCAAAACGGAACTGGAACGTCGTAACGTACCATCGTACGAATTGTTCCTCGCTGTAAATTATTGCCCGATGTAGCCAGCTTTACTTATGCACGCATGGAACATGGATACCTACGGAAATATATTTCCCCTCTTGTTCCTCTCATCCGTTGCGTTTCTAGGTTACAGGAATTGATAAAAAAACTGTTTTTTTTTAATACACGTAATTAATGGCAATCATGTTCGACGCGCACGATCATGTATATTAATATAATACTCCATTTTTACTTTGATTGTGCAATTTTTTCCTTATCCTATATGCACAGTACACATGTATTTCGTGTATTTATCTCACTTCACCAATTCAAGAATCATAATTCTTCCAATTGTTGCGATCATTATTATAATTCAACTGGTGCATACGTGTACACAACAATTTGTAATGAAATTTTCTATCGGTTTTATAATGTAATGAGATATGAACATGAATTTATATTACGTAATTTGAGAATGAAATGAACAATTTCTCTACTCATCATTTGTAACGTATGAAAGGAAATGATTAAATAAAGAACGAAACTTAATTTGAAAGAATACAGTTTCTACGCCTTCGTGTATCACTACTGTAAACGAGCAGTTAACTCGATATCGAAAATCTGTTTAGATTGAAGGAACTGGCAGAGAAGATCAACAGATATGGATTAACAGTACCAGCGTTTAATGGGCTGAAAGTCGCAGTGAAACAGATCGTGGTCGGTCCGACGCACATTGCCCTTCTCACAGAGGACCATAAAATTTGCAGAGTCGCATTTACAGTATTGTCGGACAGATTGGATTTGAGTAAAAATGAGAATAACAGAAAGTAAGCTAGAGATCATCGAAATCACCCGTTTCACACCGGATCAATGTGACACGCGTTCGTTGTTATCGTTATAGCACAAACAAGAACCATGTCGACAACTCAAATTCTGCGCCGAACGGAGGTAGTAGCAGCGGGAGCGGAAGCAGAGCAGGCATGTCCAGATCGCGGGCAAGAATTATGCGCGGCAGCTCTGCGATCCGCGGCGGCGGCAGTAGCGGAGGAAGCGGCAGTGGTGGAGGAAGCGGCAGCGGAGGCAGGATAGGCCCTCCGGGCGTAATCATGGGTGGAGGAAGCGGTAGCAGCTCGCGCTCTATCGCGTCCGTACCTGCTCCGTTTGTACCGGAAGATCTTATCACACAGGCTCAAGTGGTATTGCAGGGAAAAAGTCGTAATCTTATTATTAGAGAATTACAGGTTCGTCCTGCATCGAAACGCGTGCATAGTCCTTCGCGGACATCCAGGCCGAGTTTAACTGGTGAACTTTGTCTTTCCAGCGTACAAATCTAGATGTAAACTTAGCAGTAAATAACTTACTGTCACGCGACGACGAAGAAGGTGACGACGCGGAGGATACAGGAGACACTTACGTACCGGAGGATCTCATTTCGTTGTTAGATGGTGGTTTCGGTAACGAGCACTCCGTCATAATCGACGCCGATTCGATGTTCCCTGAAGACATGTTTGGATATACAGGAATGAGAAGGTATTCTTCGATCGACCACGTCCAAAACCGTTCCAAAGACTGGTTAGATTCACATTGGTTCTTACGTTCCCCTAGCCGAAGCAGCTCTTCGCGTAGAATAGGCAACGATCGCGAAAGCGAACGCACGTCTGAACGGGATAGGGAACGTGACAACTTCAGCAGATGGAGGGATCGTCAATATTGCGGGCCGCGACGTTGGATAGAATCTTCACAGAAGGATTCTTGGGACAAAGATCCTGGTAAAATACAATTTCAGTATGAGTCGCCTTTAATGTTTCTTTGGATTCTTCTCTACAATGGTAATGAAACAATCGTTTAGACAACAAGAAGAAAGAGCTGGCTTCTCAGAGTCCCCTATGGATATCAGAGGAGTTGGAATGGTGGCACGAACGTAGCAGCGATCTCGCTCCGCGTTTTGTACAAATCGCTTCGCTGTACAGTGAATTAATTGCTGTCTCTGCGGGGGGACAGTTGTATCAGTGGAAGTGGTCTGAACCTGAGCCATACAAACATCCAGAGGTAAAAATAATTAAGATAAGAAGCTGTTGGCTCGGTAATGGTTTGATTCAGATAAAATAATAATGTTTTTCCTTAAGAATCTGAATATACATCATCCGAAAGCTCCGTGGTTGGCAGTAACGACGGAGAAGATAGTAAATATATCTGCGACCGCGATTCGGTGCTCGATCAGTACTGAATCCGGTAAAGTAGCTACTTGGCTGGACGAGCTCGTAGGGCAAGTAGCTTCTCGCCTTGAACATCCGGCTCAAACGTTCACCGAATTCACGCTGGATAAAATAGTGTCCCTCCATACTTGTGCTCTTTACACTGTCGCTAAACTCGAAAGCGGTGCACTGTACTGGTGGTAAGTAGAACGATCGGGTAGTTCCTCTCAGCTAAAGATACAATAATCTTCGATTTTTCCACAGGGGAGTGTTGCCCTTTGCACAACGTAAGAAGTTATGGGAGAAGTATAAAGCTAAGTCGTGCAAACATAGATCGTCCACGGCATCCTCAAATGAGATCAGTTATGGCGCACACGTTTGTATGAAGAGTAGCCCGATATATCACCCTGGAGCGATAGGTGACTGTTCAAGAAATTACGTTTACGTTTTTATTTCCTCTTCGATTACGTGTAACATCCGTGTGTCTTGTTCACGTCTTTAGGATTCACGATTGCTAATGGAGTTCCGAAAGTAGGGCAATTGTTAGGAGCCGCTTGGAATTTAGACGCCACTTACAGATTCAAGATATTACCAGCTGGAGCTCATCTGCCAAACGCTAATGCGGAGAAACGAGAGACAAATGGAAACAACGGAACGACGGGCACTATCAATAAAACTAATCACAAAGAGACTGCCGATCGGCTCGACATGCCTCCTCCGCCGTCACCAGCCTCCAGCACGTGCAGCGATACTAGTATCACAACTAGTCATAGTAAGATTATTTATCCGTTCATTTAGTTCATTCTTTCAATTCGCACGTACTAAAGTCTGTATATTTATATGTTTTTTATAGACAGGAAAAAGCGTGTGGCACCTCGGAACGAAGAGTCAGAGAGAAAAGACGAGGAGGAGTGGCAGTTAAAAGACGTCGTTTTCGTGGAAGATGTTAAGGCTGTTCCAATTGGTATGATTTACTGAATAATTTCTTGAATTCCTATTGATATAGATACATTCGTTTCTTAATCTATAATATGTCCTGTTCTACTTTACAGGTAAAGTTATAAAAGTCGACGGGTGTTACGTTGCCGTAAAATTCTTCTCGAAAGATTCGAAGGAGAAAGAAATTAAGGAGAAGGACTTCAGCACGTCAGATTTTAAAGATCTGACCACCGAGGAGCTGATTAAATTACTGGCCGATTGTAGATTGTTGAGGAAGGACGAGATACAGGTAATTGAAATCTTGAATTTTGTAGAAAATTAAGATGTAGTTCTTGGAGTGATGTTTTGATCGTTTAGGTCGTGAAGACGTCTATGAATCCAAGAGCTCCGGATTGCTTCCAACGAACTCCCAGGAGAGTGAACATCGTTGAAGGATCGAACGACAGCATTCTGAGCATCGCTACTGACGGTCAAGGTAGGATTTCACACGGTTGGTAATATGTCCGAGGGATTGATATATTAATTAAGAAATCGATTGCAGGAATCCATGCGATAGTGAAAAGTGGAAATAAACTAAGTTACGTTATTTACAATTTAAGTACCGGAAGATACGTACAAGATTGTTACATACCTTCGGACGTATCTACGTTCATGGGAGCCCAGCCACAGAATATCAGTCTTACAAGCGCAGGGGAGGTAGGTTTCTCGTTTTCCGACAGCGGACAGGAAGTGTGCATAATTTCGTTATATCGCTTCTTGCAGAGCATCGAATGTTCCATGATACTCAAAGATGGGAACAATACCGTTTATCCGCTGGTGAAAGATTCCGCCGGTGCTATCCGTGATCCAAATTGGTTGGATTTAGTTCCAGTTCTCTGTATCGGTGGCTCGACCATCCCGATACCGAATTGCTCGAATCTGACCAATATGAAGAATCACGTTGCAGTCATCGCGTTGGCATTCGATAATCTTTTGCTGATGCCGCGTATCTTGAGATGCGACTACGACAGCGTCAAGCAGGTATTCTGCAATCTGGAACAAGATCATAGTAAGTATGATTGCATCTTTTACATTGTTCTGTCATCGGAAGGCATTGACGGAACGTTGGATTCCAGAAAACAATGCAGCACAGATTCAACAAATATTGATGGAGCGTTGCGACGGCAATCGCAATATACTGCATTCTTGCATTAGTATGTGTGCACCAACATCGAATAAAGAAAACGATCAAGGTACGTAAAATCTACCTTTCTCCCACAGATAATAACTTACAATCCGAGCTATAGCTGTAACTTCATAGATTCTGTTAAAGGTGTCGAACGCGAATTAGTTACAAACACAGTTGATGGCCCATCCGCGCCTCTCGAAGAACCCATTCCGACCCTGAGCTGGCCACCAGAGGCGTTTGATAATACTTCAGGGGAAGAAGATAGCTTGCTCAGTATTGGGACCGCTAGCATATCCATGATGAACAAAACAGGTGAAAATCTCTCGAACGCCTGTTCGTTCTCATTCTTTTTATGCACGTTACTAAAGGAAAGCTTGTTCACTTCAGGCGTTGGAGCGACATCGAACAATACTTACATCATAGACTCCGTCGAAAGAAGGAACAACGCGTTACTGATATTGAAGTACATGTGCGAGAGCAGCGTGCTGGCACCTCATCTAAAGGACTTACTCACGGCAAGGTAACAATTTCGATTCAAGGCAATTGATTATGTTGTACGTAATAATTTGAATTACAATTTGACGCGAATATTAAAAATTCGGCAGGGATATTCAGGGCCAGACTCCGTTGATGCACGCGGTATCGGTTCGCGCATATCACGCGGCTCTCATATTGCTGGACGTCATTCAGAAAGTTGGAAGAGATCAGAAAGAATGCTCGGCAATGATACTTCCCGCTGATGCCAACCCGGATCTGTCCCCGTTGTTCGTGACCTGTTGTAACGATACCTGCAGCTTCACTTGGACCGGCACGCAGCACATCAACCAAGACATCTTCGAATGCAAAACGTGCGGATTGACAGGATCCTTGTGCTGTTGCACGGAATGCGCGCGCGTCTGTCACCGAGGCCACGATTGTAGAATAAAGATAACTTCGCCGACGGCTTACTGCGATTGCTGGGAGAAGTGTAAATGCCGTGCGCTGATCGCGGGCCATCAGGGAGCTCGATACGAACTCCTGTGCCGTCTCGCGAATACCGATCTCGTCACGAAGATAAATTCACGGGGAGAAAGTATCTTGTTGTTCTTAGTCCAGACCGTCGGAAGGCAACTGATAGAACAACGACAGTTTCGCTCAGCGTTACGCCAGCGTTCGACGTCTGCGAGTCGCAAGGGAGCATCGTCCGATGGTTTGGACGCAGACGTGGATATGCCTGATCACGACTTGGAACCTCCTCGTTTCAATCGAAAAGCCTTGGAGAGATTGTTGAACGACTGGCCAGCAGTTCAGTGCATGATCATGTCGGGAGTCTCTGTAAACGGGAACGATCAACTGTTCGGCGATCAGGGCAACGTGTCTCGTCAGAGCGGTACCGCTCTCCTCGACAAGTTTACTCATTCCCTGTTGGTGAAATGCAGCGCGGAGATGCTGCACACGCTGCTCACGACTCTGATACGAGAACTGCAAAACGACGCGATACCTGGCCGGCAAGAGGAAGCCAACAACGTCGCGCGCCGATTCGTTCGTTCGGTGGTTCGTATATTCGTGATCTTTACGATAGAAATGGCACCGACCACGACTAAGCGAAGGAGCAACAGCCAAGCGTTGCAGCCGTTGATGAAGTGTCGCAAGGTTTTTCAAGCACTGATCAAGCTGGCCGTAGAGGAGTTGTGTGAGACAGCCGACGCGTTAATAGCGCCGGTGATTCTAGGCGTTGCTCGGCCGACGGCACCGTTTACCTTGAGCTCGAACGCTTTCGAAGTGATCAATGGCTCGGAAGAATTCTTCTCCATAGAACCGTTGATACCTCACAGTGGCGTTAGCTCTCAGACTCTAGATGCCACTTTACAGACGCAACAGGGAAACAACAATATAACTATTTCCAGAGATGTCTCCGCAATGGACGAGGCAGAAGGTGGCGAAGGTACAAGAAGAATAAGTGTATCAATTTATCACCTTTATTTGCATTCTCCGTCTGTGTATAATAAAATGATGATCGTGTTTGAGCAGAAGTTCCAATGGACGTGGACGGCGATATAAGCGAGCACGAGGAGTCTGGTGTATCTGGGAACGTTCCCGGTCAACCCCTAGGCGAGATGGACAGCAACGGGGGAGGCGTCGGCGAAGAACAAGCAGGAGACGGCGAATCGGACACGGAACTCGATCTGCTGGCAGAGGCGGAAACGGAATCGGACTCCGATGACAATCACAGTAATCAGGACGCAGCTTCTGCTCAAAGGAGCGTTCAGACCGGTGCTACGGCAGGATCTGACGGTGGAATGGGATCGATTTTGTTATTCCCGGAGGACGAATCCGGAGAATCTAGCCAGCAAGAGGACGACGAGAGCGAAGCAGGGGAGACCGATGAACAGGATAACGAAGATTTTCAGATTGGCGATGAACAGTTGGAACGCAGAAGGTAACAATGTTTCTTCCTCTCAAGTTCGATGCTCTTGTGCTCTCGTGTGCGCGACAAGCGTACGTAGAAAACACAGGTACATTGAGTAAGAGAAGATCTGTTTATTTATTTTTATGTCTCCAATCACGGTGTTACCCTGATCATTTCCAACAGCAGTTTTATTTTACCGGATCCTTATTACAGTGGCTCGTCTGGATATTTACATCGTAATAATCTCGCGCCCGTTTCTATGCAATGGGCGATACGTAATCGCGAGTCAAGTATGCGTACAGCTGGATTACGAGTAACAGGTGGCAGTAATCTGGTTTTCATTGACTCTGCATCTCTAAGACGCACTACCGCGACGTCCGCTGTCGCGGCCGCGCAAGAACCCATTATAATGGGCACTACCACAAGTTGTTTGGCGCGCGCTTTCGGAATTGTTATTCGACAGATAGCCGATCTTCTAGTTATGATGCAAGATTACAAAACGTTGGCACCGTCTTTGCCCCGATTGATGGAGATCACCCATCAGGACGCACTCAATCTTCAGGTACAGTTTTCTCACGGTCGGTGAAAACCGAGCAACGATGAACTGCGCTCGTTCTATTGAGCAGCGTGACAGTTTAAAGAACGAACTACCGTTGGGATCACACACGATATTTCCACAGATGTATCTCGAGGCACACTTGAAACCCACTTGGGATTGGTTGCTGACGGTGATGGACGCTACAGAGGCACAATTGAGATTCGGCGTATCTCTGACGCGTAGCGCAGACCCCACCCACCCGGAGCACCCGCTGAACAACGCTTCGTCGCTGTCCGGAGGCAATTTCTCCGGATTACTGAACACTGCTGCACTTTCGTTCACATTGCAATCTAATACAGGTCGGAATCAACGTGGTGGTATCGCTACGAGCTCCAATATCTCCACTCCACAAGGTTCTCCAAGACTCATCGTTGGTTTTACAGGCGTTGGCGAGCCTTCGAGAAACAATAGAGAACGCGAGGGTAATCTTATTTCTCCATGTATATGTTCAAGGACTGATTCAGGAGTAAAATATATTGAACGATTGGTAGAACCATATATTTTCTTTAATTACCTCTAGATGAATCAGTTCTAGAAAAAATCAACCGCACGTTTGTCCTTCGTTTCTCAGTTAGGCTCTAATCGATGTTGTCGATGCACAGGTGGCGATTTGTACTTGGCGAGACGTGAATTTTTGTCCTATTGTCTGTCCTTAATGCGCGCCCACAACAACGAACACAGGGATAGCTTACCAGTGTTAGACGTTTCCGCCCTGAGACACGTGGCATACGTATTCGACGCGCTAGTGTATTACATGCGTTCGCTCTCGGAGCCCATGTCGTCGCGAGGAAGATCACAAAAGGAATCGTCCAGCTATTCCGGTTGGAACGATCAGGTTTGTATTTTGAATTGCGATTTCAATCGTGACGAGAGGGAGAGAGAGAGAGAGAGAGGATTATACGAGGATGATCGTTTCGATTGCAGGATGAAAATGATAACGACGAGGGCGAAGAGTACAGTTCCCCGGTTCCTACCACCTTACAGTCGGACTCTGTCGACTATCCAGATTTACTGCAGGTCCCCGTCTCCGGGACTGCATCGGGGAACGATAATACGAACAAAAGTACATCTAAAGGAAGAAATCACCCATTTTTGCAGAGATCAGACTCGACCCTGTGCCTCGGTTGCCCTCCGATCGATCCTTTCGATACTGCCATGAGCGAGGCGTTGCCGTTGGCGGACCAACCGCACCTGTTACAGCCTCATTCGAGGCGGGAGGATCTTTTCGGTATACCGAAGCAGCCGGCGGCCAGCGCGGGTGATAATCAAAACCCGTTAGAGGGATTGCCTACGAGACTTAGCCTGTTCGCCCGCGGCGCCGAGAAGCGGAACGCTCCCACGCCGTCGTTCAGCCAAATTATACAAAGACCCGCCTTCCCATCGTCCGATCCGAAACGTATTCCCGTTACGGACGCTTCGAAGCACACGGTAATGTTCAACTTTGCACAGGAATGCCGGTTGAACTTGTATGAATTTCCTGGCATTCTCGCATTTTCCTCCAAGCTTCTGTTTTATTTCACTGAATTACTTTTACTTCAGCCTGAACTTCGTTCTATCGTTGCAAACGATTCTATTATCGTTCTTTCGTCCTCGTTTGCAACGATAGAACGTCTCGCTGCATTTTTGCTAAGCATGCACGCATAATATGCCTGTGCCGTAACTGTGTAATCTCACGTTGGCAAATGAAATTGTAGGAGAAGGCAAAATCGTTTACTCCGACGAACGATAATCACACGCTCGTCGCGGAGCAAATTGATCGAGCTCCGATTATCGTTTCTACTAACAATCAAAACGATCAAGCAACAGGAAGTACCAAAATTAATAAGGATATAAGTAAAACGAATAGAAGCGTTATTGTTAGAGCTGGAACCGTGTTGGTAAATATTCGTGATGTTGTTCTTCTCGTTGTCCTTTGAAAATTACCATAAGAAAAAAAAACAGATTAGAGATCATATATTCGTGTACGAAATCAGCACGGAAAGAAAGATCGTTAAGCACGTTTGTTGGCGAACAGGATAATGAATCTTATGTTTCAATCTTTAAAGGAGTCGAATGCGAACAAACCTGGCGGGTCGGATACGATGAACGAAGCCCCGCAAAACGCCTCGGAAGATGCAGATGCATCTAATTCGAACGAAGCTGCGTCCACGGCTCAAGAGCAGGCCGAGACGAGCCCGGTCTCTTCTATCGGGACGAATATATCTCATAACATTTTACTGGGCCGTTGGAGCTTGTCCCTCGATCTGTTCGCACGAGTTTTCATGGAGGATGTCGCGTTGGAGGCTGGCTCGGTCGTGTCCGAGCTAGGCGGGTTCTCGGTGAAAGAGGCCAAATTTCGTAGATACATGGAGAAGCTTAAGAATGCACAACAAAGAGACATCAATTTGTTCAAGGTAATAAACGTGACTTGAAATACGGCTAACCGGCTATCGGTTACATTACGAGCACAATCTCTGTAACTGTGTCAATCTTCGATTAAGGTTGAACGGGACAGAACGCAACTGTTGGTGCAAACGATGAAGGAATTGAATATGCACTACCACTTATACAATAGACGCCCCTCGAGCGCTCCTCCTCTGGCAGTGCATCGCGTTAAAGTAACGTTTAAGGACGAGCCTGGTGAAGGCACCGGAGTCGCCAGAGGCTTTTACACCGCAATCGCAGAGGTTCGTATCGTTGCTACACGCGTAAACCTTGTACTCAGTGTTTAATGGTAACAAAAGTAAACGTGTAATTTTCGCAGGCGTTACTGGCGAATGAGAAATTGCCTAATCTAGAAGCAGCGCAAGTGGGATATAATAATAAGTACGCGCAATACAAAGTTCTCCATAAGCTGAAGAGTATAGATCGTGATCGTGATTTAAGGCGACAGGTAAGAGTAACATGGACATTTGTTCGAAACGAATTCTGTTTGTATTTACGAGAAATAACTTTTATTACAGAATCCTCGATCCTCCGGGAAGTGCCGTGAGACGCGTAGAGCATTGTCTCTTGAAGCTCGCATGTTCAATCCCTCCAGTTCTGTCGAAGGAACCAGCAACTCGGGGGCCGGTAGCTCGTCGTCCAATTCCCACCCAATACCTGTCAGCCATCCGAACAATGATCACTTGACTATGCATCAACAACAACTCGGGGACAGGCTGTACCCAAAGGTGCGTAGCCAATTACAGTCAATCAAGGATGGCACTCCTACAAATCGAAGACCACTTCTTTCCTCAATCGAGTCATGCAGGCCGAGCCACCTGAAATTACTGTTATTTAATTAAAAGACGATGGTCCTTAATAGTTCGCATGCATCTCGATTCGGAAAGAGTAGTCATGAAGAAAAAATTATTACGCTATATTTATTACCTTGTTTCTAGGTTTACGCTTTGCAACCGACATTGGCTGCTAAGATAACTGGTATGCTGTTAGAGCTGTCCCCAGCGCAGCTGTTGATGCTACTAGCTTCGGAAGACGCTCTACGGCAGAAAGTAGACGAGGCATTTGAATTAATTAACAGTTACAGTCAAGAGTCAGCGAAGGAGACGTTATTAGATCTGAACGTGTTCAGCTTGATCGCGCACTGCGGCACGAATAAGAACATAATCTTGGACAACGCCGAGGACAATGCTCCTCTGTTCTATTCACCGGGAAAAAGAGGTTTTTACACGCCGCGACAGGGAAGAGCCAGCTACGAGCGTTTGAACGTATTTAGAAACGTCGGCAGGTTTGTAAAGACGAGACATTTAAAGTAGGATAGAACAGGGTAAAAATCGTCGATTACACCGATTGATTACATTTCTCTCTAGACTCATGGGTCTCTGTCTGCTGCAAAACGAGCTGTGCCCAATATTCTTGAATCGTCACGTGTTGAAGTACATCCTAGGAAGACCGATTCGTTTCCATGACCTTGCATTTTTCGATTCAGTAACTTATGAAAGCCTAAGACAGATAGTTAATCTTTCCGAGACTAAGGGCAGCAGCCTGTTCTACGATCTCGACCTCACGTTCAGGTAAGCCCGTTCGTCAGACGTCTTAACCATCGATACTGAACTTTCCGTTCGAATTGCCATAAACGTCTCGCGCATTTTATTCTAGTATTGATCTGCGCCCCGAGGAGGGTGGGAAATGGATCGACCTTATTCCTGATGGACGCGACATAGAAGTAGACGCTAGCAACGTTTACGATTATGTACGGAAGTACGCGGAAGTACGTATGATAAAGGCGCAGGAGAAGGCTCTGCAGGCTATGAAAGAAGGGGTGTTCGACGTGCTACCCGAAGGTGCCCTCGACGGTTTGACCGCTGAGGACCTGAGGCTGCTATTGAACGGTGTCGGTGACATAAACGTTTCCGTTCTGATATCGTATACTTCGTTCCACGATGAGTCGGGGGAACCGGCAGACAGATTGGCCAGGTTCAAGCGATGGCTGTGGTCCATCGTTGAGAAAATGTCTCATTCGGAGCGACAAGACTTGGTAAGAGATTCACATTACGGCGTATCACCTTTCATATTAAGGATGTATTGGCTATACAGTCAATCCCAAAGGTTTATGCACTTTAGAAACGCATTTTTTAAAAAGAAATCAGACGTCGAAAGAACATTACTAATAATAAACA